ACGCGGCAGGAATGGACGGGACGTGGCGGAATGGGACGTGGCGGGATGGGACGGGACGTCACGGGACTTGACGTGGCGGTACGTGACGTGGCGGGAAGGGACAGGACGTGGCGTGACGGGACGTGGCGGGAATGGACGGGACGTGGCGGGACGGGAAGTTGAGGGACGGGACGTGGCGAGACGGGGCGGAACGGGACAGGGCGGAATGGGGACGGACTGGACGGGACGTGGCGGATATGGACGGGACGTGGCGGGATGGGACGTTGCTGGAGGGACGGGGCGGGACGGGACGGGACACGACGGGACGTGGCGGGACGGGATGTGGCGGGAAGGGACGGGACATGAAGGGACGTGGCGGGACGGGACGTGGCGGGAAAGGACGTGACATGACGGGACGTGGAGGGACAGGACGTGGCCGGACTGGACGGGACATGGCGGGACGTGGCGGGAATGGACGGGACGTGGCGGGACGTGACGTGGCGGTACTGGACGTGGCGGGAAGGGACGGGACATGACGGGACGTGGCGGGATGGGACGTGGCGGGACGGGGCAGGAAGGGGAGGGACGGGATGAGTCGGGAAGGGACGGGTCGGGACGGGACATGGCGGGACGGACGTGGTGGGAAGGGACGGGACATGACGGGACGTGGCGGGACTGGAAGTGGCGGGAAGGGACGGGGCGGGACGGGACGTGGCGGGAAGGGACGTGGCGGGAATGGACGGGACGTGGCGGGACGGGACGTGGCGGGACGTGACGAGACATGACGGGACGTGGCGGGACGGGACGTGGCGGGATGGGACGTGGCGGGAAGGGACGGGACATGACGGGACGTGGCGGGACGGGACTCGGCGGGACGGGGCGGGTCGGGACGGTGCGGGATAGGGACAGACGGGAAGGGACGTGGCGGGAATGGACGGGACGTGGCGGGACGGGACGTTGCCGGAAGTGACGGGGCGGGAAGGGACGGGACGGGACTTGGCGGGAAGGGACGGGACGTGGCGGGACGCGACGTTGCTGGAGGGACGGGACAGTTTGAGGTGGGAAGGTACGGTCCGTGGCATCTGCAAAGACAATTGTAGATCTTCCTTCCCAATCCATATACCTTTTATTTCCTTTTCTCATCTCTTATTGCACTAACTAGAAATCCCAGTACAGCGTCGAAAAGCAGTGGTGAGAGGGGACATCCCTCCCTTGTACCTGATTTTAGTGGAAAAGCTTTGAGTTTCTTGCCATTCAGTGTGAGGTCAGCCATGGGAGGAGGGGGTGCTGCGGATATTCTTTATTTTTTTTATTTTTATTTTTTTTGCAGATATTCTTTATAAAGTTGAAAATGTTCTCCATTTCTAGCTCACTAAGAGTGTTTATCATGAATAGGTGTTGGGTTTTGACAAATGCCTCTTCTTCATCTATTAATATAATCATGTGGTTTTTCTTTTTTAGCCTATTGATGTGATGCATCACACATTAATAGATTTTCCAATGATGAGCCAACCTTCTTGCACCCCTGGGATAAATCCCCCAGGGTCATAGCATATAATTCTTTTAATACATCGTTGGATTCATATGCTATTTTTAATAGTTGACCTAGAGTTTGCAGCATGCAGTTACAATTAATCCCAAACTTCTTTCAAATAACACTATATCATTATACCATGTCACAGGTGGTGTAAGAACCTTATAATAAGAAATGATTCCTTATTTTTTTCCTCCCATATTAGTATTGCTGGTGCCATTCCTTTCACCTATACATAATCCTACATAAGTACTTGCAGGTACATTGGCACACAAAATTGAATACTGCTGTTACTATTTTGGACAAAGTATTACTGGTTAGGGGATCCCTGGGTGGCTCAGTGGTTTAGCACCTGCCTTTGGCCCAGGGTGTGATCCTGGAGTCCTGGGATCGAGTCCCACATCAGGCTCCCTGCATAGAGCCTGCTTCTCCCTCTGCCTCTCTCTCTGTGTCTCTCATGAATAAATAAATAAAAATATTTTTAAAAAAAGTATTACCAGTGAGATCTATTAAGAATATGAAAAAATTAAAGTTTTTATTTTATCTTCACCATTCATACTCTGATGCTTTACCTTCCTTTAGGCAGATCTGAGTTTTTGACTACATTACTTTTCTTTTCTGTAAAGAGCTTTTAACATTTCTTGCAAGGCAGGTCTACTGGCAACAAATTCCCTCAATATTCATTTGTCTGAGAAGATCTTTATTTCTCCTTCAAGAGGTACAGAATTGTAGACTGGTGGGGACTTTTTCCTCTCGACACTTTGTAAACATTCTTTTTTAAAAAGTATTTTATTTATTTATTCATGAAAGACACAGAGAGGGATCCCTGGGTGGCACAGCGGTTTAGCGCCTGCCTTTGGCCCAGGGCGCGATCCTGGAGACCCGGGATCGAATCCCACGTCGGGCTCCCGGTGCATGGAGCCTGCTTCTCCCTCTGCCTGTGTCTCTGCCTCTGTCTCTCTCTGACTATCATAAATAAATAAAAATTTAAAAAAAAGAAAGAAAGACACAGAGAGAGGCAGAGACACAGGCAGAGGGAGAAGCAGGCTCCCTGCGGGGAGCCGGACGTGGGACTCGATCCCAGGACTCTGGGATCATGACCTGAGCCAAAGGCAGATGCTCAACCACTGAGCCACCCGGGTGCCCCTAAAATTTCATTTTAGTGTCTTCTTGCTTGCATGGTTTCTGAGAAGTCAAAAATAATCCTTACCTTTATAGTCTATAGGTCAGGTGGGTTATTTTCCCCCTCTAGCTCTTGTAAGGATTTTTTTCTCTATTCATCTTTGATTTTCTGTAGTTTGAAAATGATATGCCTAAGTGTAGTTTTGTTTTGTTTTGTTTGTTTGACATTTATCCTGCGTGGTGTTCTCTGAGCTTCCCAAATGTGTGGTTTGCTGCCTGACATTAATTTGGCAAACTCCGCAGTCATTATTGTTTCAAGTATTTTTTTCTGATTCTTTCTCTCTTTCTCCGTCTGGAATTCCCATCACACATATGTTACACTTTCAGTTCTCTTTGCTTTTCCATTTTTGAGGATTCTGTTGAGATGTCCTCTGGCTCAGAGACTCAGTCACGCGCGGTCAACAAGTAAGCCCATCAAAGGCATTCTTCGTTTCTGTTCCCGTGTTTGTTTGATCTCTGGCATCTCTTTTGGTTCTTCCTTAGGATTTCCATCTCTGTCGCCCTGCGCCTCTGTTCTTGCACGCTGCCTGCCTCATCCATTAGTGCCCATGGCATGGGCGGATGTTGGAAGCACTGTGGGTCTGGTCCCAGGCCACCTCGACAAGGCCAATATTGCAGAAACGCGAGTGAAATGAATGTTTGGGTTTCCCAGCACGTACAAAAGTTATGTTCATCCTGTGTTGTATTCTATTAAGTGTGCAATAGCATTATGTCTAAAAACAATGTACATACCTTAATTTAAAAGACTTCATGCTGGGACACCTTCAGCTCGGGGCGTGATCCCGGGGTCCTGAGATCAAGTCCCACATCGGGCTCCCTGCATGGAGCCTGCTTCTCCCTCTGCCTGTGTCTCTGCCTCTCTCTCTGTGTCTCTCATGAATAAATAAATCTTTAAAAAAATAAAAAACAAAATAAAATAAAATACTTCATGCTGAAAAATGCTAACCGTAATTTGAGCTTCCAGAGAGTTGTGACCACTGATCGTAGATGACCGCAACAAGTATAATAATAATGAAAAAGCTCAAAATATTGCAAGAGTTACCAACATGTGACACAGAGACATGAAGTGAGCAAATACTGTTGGAAAAATGGTGCTGACAGACTTGCTGGCTGTAGGGTCGCCTTAAACCTTCCATTTGTGTAAAAAAAAAAAAAGAAAAAGGCGGTATCTGCAAAGTGCAATAAAATGAAGTATGTCTGTGTGTTTTCATAGTGTTTTAAATTTCCAGTCTGATAATTCCAACATCCCTGCCACATCTGGCGCTGATGCTCTCTGTCTCCTCCAATTGTTTTGCTTCAGTTTATTTCTCTTGAGAGCGAAACATGATGTACTGGGTAAAGGAACTGCTGTAAATAGGCCCTGGTAATGTGGTGGTGAGGGTCAGAGCTGGTGGGGGAGCATCCTGCAGCCTGTTGTTGCCCGTGATGGGTCTTTTCAGGAGCTTATGGCTCTGGACTTGACTCACCCATGTTTCTCACACGGAGGTGGGGCAGAAAGGCTGTAGCGGGCTGCCCTGGGGTGTTCACCTTCCCCGGGCCAGTTGGCTCCGGTGGGCAGGCCTGGCCAAGGACAGGTCACACTGGGGTATTTAGAAATGAGGGGATTTTTCTCAGATACTTATTGTGGGATCTGTTGAGCTCCCACTGTTAAATCTCACAGCATTGGGGGGACCTCTCCAGGAGGGGTCTTTACCTGGGGGGCGTTGTCAGTTTGGCTCCCCCTGGGGTGGTCCTCCCTGGGCCCACCTGCCCTGTATGTAGCAGCAGGTCCCTGCATTCGCTTTCCAGCCTAGAGGCAGCGCTTTGCCCTGTGTCCTCTCTCTCATGGATCCTATGTCAAGAAGCGCTCTTGACTTTTCACTCTGTTCAGCTTTTTACTGGGTCTTAGGATGGAGCAGCAACCTCCACGCTCCTCACGTATGGACCGGGAAACTGGAAGTGGGCCCCACAATGCTCTTTTGCAGATAAATTCCTAGAAGTGGATAGGCTGACTCAACACTCGTGTGACCCACGAAGACCTCCCTCCTTCCCCAGCTTAGCCTTCGGAGTCCAGCATGGAACCATCTCCTTACCGAGGCCCTAATTCCACGGCCCGTCATCCTTTTACCACATACACCCCCAAGCCTGGGAGACACTCCCGTGTGTCATGCCTACAGCCGGGTGGCTAAGGCTTACAGAGAAACAAAAGCACACAACAGGGCAACCTGTTTCCTGGAAATTCCTAATCACCAACATCAACCAAATGGTTTATCTTTACATCCTGCTTCTCCCTTCTGGTCAACACCTTCTCCCTCTCTCTGCAAAGATGTTTCAGACTTTCTGTTTCCCTCCCCGAACCTCTGACATCACCAGGCTCCAGCCAGGAGGCCTCTGCTACAGAGAGATCATCACGGAGGCCATCGCCTCGGTGCCCCGCCAGTGAAGGCAGATCCTCGTCCCCACCGGTGCTCACGACCCTCCCCACCCTGCCTCTTGGAAGCTTCATGCTATGGATCTGTCCTCCTCTGTCCCCAGATTCAGTGTTTCCTTTCCAAAATAATATATATATTTTTTCCCTTCAACATGTAAACCTATTCAGGTAGCTTCCATCCTAAAAAGCAAAGCAAAACAAAGACCATCTTTCCTTGACCTCACCTCCTTTGGTCAGCACCCCATTTTTCTTCTCTGCTTGACAGACCGCGTGTCCCAGTTACTCCTCTAACCTGAGTGGCATTTATTATTCTAGTGGTTTCTTTGGGTCAGGAAGCAGAGCCCAGGGGGGATGACTAACTTCTGCTCTATGGCCTCTGAGCTTCAGCTGTTGTCCCCAGACTTGGGCTGGCCTTCCCTGCAGGCTTGCTCACTCACTCGGAGGTGGCTGGGGGCTCTCTGCCGGGGACCTCGGGCCTCTGCACGCACCACTTGGGGCTCCTCCGTGGCGTGGCAGCTGGATTCCAAGGAGGCAAACACTACGAAAGAGAACCAGGGTCAGTCAAGGTCCTGGAGTCAGAAAGTAGATGGGGGTGCCAAGGGCTGGGCAGAGAGGGAAGGGGGGCTCGTGTTTCACGGGGGTCGCAGCTTCCCTTTTGTGGGTTGACGAGTTCTGGAGATGGGTTGCATGACGGTGTGAATGTGCTTTACTTTACACTAACGAAGTGTACATTGGAACGCGGTCAGAAGGGTAAGTTTTATATGTTTATTTTCCTTGAGAGAGAGGACACGAGAGAAGCTGCGTCGTTTTTATGGCCCAGCCTCACAAAGCCCACAGCACCACCTCCTCCGTCCTCCGCTGGTCAGAGAAGTCACAGGTGCGCCCAGATCCAGGGCTGTGGGGACGGACTCCCCCTCCCGATGAGGAGAGGAAGGTTCTGGAAGAAGAACGTGCGGAACGGAAGACAGTGCTGTGGTGTTTGTGCAAACACAGGCTGCCACACACGCCGGGCCCTCAGCTCCCACAAATCCCTCTTCCCTCCAGGCTGGTTTTTGCTGTGTAGCTGCTCACGGGAACGTCACAGATGATTTCCATGTGGATAAATCAGCTGGGTTGTCTTTATTTTCTTTTGTTGTGATGTATAGAAACGTTCCAGCATCTTCAAAAGGGGAGCGAATAGCATAAAGAGCCGCCCAGCATCACCCAACTTCCCAAGTACCAGTATCTGCAAACCCCGTTGCTTTGATTCCTGCCACCCCCATTCAGAGACTTTGTAGACAAGCTCATCTCTCTCTCTTTAAAAGATTTTATTTATTTATTCGTGAGAGACACAGAGAGAGAGAGACAGTGACACGAGCAGAGGGAGAAGCAGGCTCCCTGCGGGGACCCCGATGGGACTCGATCCCGGGACCCCGGGATCACAACCTGAGCTGAAGGCAGACGCTCCACTGCGGAGCCCCCCAGGCCTCCCAAGCTCATCTCTCTTGACCCCCCCCCAGCAGCACTGGACAGAGGTGGCCTCTCCCTCTGCCTTGAGACACTGGCTTCCTTTGGCTTCCAGGGCACAGATATCCTCCAGTGCCCCTGTCCTTCTAGGCCTTTCTTTCTCAGTCCATTTCTTTATCATCGCCTCTCTGAAAGCACTCTGCCTCGGAGGACCTCAGTGCTTGCCTGGGCCGCCTTCTCGGCCACCTGTCACAGCCATGCCCTCGGTGTCAGTCACCACCCACGTGCAAGTGGCTCCTGGGGCGGAGACCACCAGATGCCAACACCCATCCATTCCTCCTCCTTAGGAGCGCTGACTGGTAGCCGGCCGTCAGGCGCCCAGGGAAAGGCCACCATTCCCAGCCTCCCCTGCAGCGAGGAGCGCCATGTGACAAAGCTGTGGGCATTGGGAGGTGAAGGGAAGTGACGCGTGTGAACTTTGTGTGGTCTCCTTCTCTCTGCCCCTCCCGGTGCTTGGATGCTGTCCTCGTGATGGGCCACCAGGCCCCTGGGGATGAAAGCATCCCGGGCCCTGGGCCACCTCCTGGGGTGGGGCCACCACACCTGTACCTTCTCGGGCTCCTCCGGGGGGCACCCGTGAACCCACTGTGCTCCTGTTCCTTCGGCCTAACCCGAGAAGCCAAACTTAGATCCTAACTACGCTGTTTCATCAATTCTAAGACACATTTATTGTTTTCATTTTAATTTCTCTGCAATCAGACCTGGCCAGTTCCTGGCAGGTGGCGCCTTGTGTCTTCCTCGGTGGTGGGGGAAGCAGGGCGCGCCCCGACCAGGGGCATCGTGGCTGCACGTGGTCCCCTCCCACTGGCTCTCTGGCACTTCTGTTTGATGTCTCGAGGGCAAAGAAGCCACCGTGTCTGTCATCTGCCCGCCATCCCCCAGAGTGGATCCGGGTCCTGTCCCCCTGCCCCGGGTGACAGCACCCCCAGGGACCTCCCGCCCACTCACCACTCCTGTCCAGTCCATCACCCATGTTTGGTTTTTCTCCTCTTTGCCATGTTTTGCTGCTAATATGGACTGCCGTCATGTCTGTTCTGAATTCCAGCAACACCCCACAACTGATGGCCCTTCTTCCGTTTAACCGCACCCCTGGGCCCCTCACCATACCACAGCCAGAAGGATCTCAAACCCATGGTCATTCTTGTCGGTGCCTTTACCCAGAATCCTTCAGTAGGCCGCCCATTGCTCTTAGGACAAGGGCCCTCTCAGAAGCTTTGGATTATTCCCCCTGTGGCATACAAGGGCCCCAAAGTAAGAGCACAGTGGGTTGAGGTTCCCGGGACTATGGGAGCCTTCCCTGACTTGGCCTCCCCCCACTGCGAGGGACTTCCCATGCACGTGTGTAGACACCCTAGGCCACGTATCCAAACTCTGTCCACACCCTCAACCACAGAAACTTGCCTCTTGCTCACCCCTTGGTCACCCCTCGGGCCCAGAGTGCACACGCTCCATCTGTCCTTGGAAAGGTGGCCCTGGGAGAGAAGACTCCGGAAGTAGGTGGGAGCTGTTTGGGGAGGGGACTCCAGGCTGTAGGGGGTTGGAAGCATTGTCTAGGACAACACAGGCTCCAGACAGGCACCGCAGATTCCTCGTCCTGGAGCGAGGGACAGAGGCCAGCCAAAGCGGAGGGCTCTAAGGACCTTCAGTGGGGCCCCAGCTGCCCGGCCCCATGGGCAGCGCCGCGCTCGTTGACATGGGTCCTGGTCTGTCAGCAGAGCCCACACGGGCCTCTCCCTCACACCCTCTGTGCCCCAGTCACCATGACCTCTACTTCCCCAGACAAGCTCTGTCCCTTCTCCTCTTGGGGCCCTTGCACATGCAGATCCCTCACTTTGGGACACTCTCTCCTGCTCATCACTTGGCCAGCACATTCCTTAGCCCCTCGATAAATAGGTACAGGTCTGAATCATAACAGTTTAAATATATTTTTTTAAAGATTTATTTTTATTTGTGATAGAGAGAGAGAGAGAGGCAGAGACACAGGAGGAGGGAGAAGCAGGCTCCATGGAGGGAGTCTGAAGTAGGACTCGATCCCGGGACTCCAAGATCGCGCCCTGGGCCAAAGGCAGGTGCTGAGCCACCCAGGGATCCCCTGAATCATAACAGTTTAAAACAGTTGCCAATTTCTCATCAGAAAATCAGCTCACCTGTGCCCAGTGAGCAGAACTGCAAATTGGCCCAACGTGAGCAGGTCGGCTCTGTATCAAAACTTGACATTCATTTCTTCATTCAACAAATATTTATTGTAATAAATATTATGTGGGTGAAATGTCTTAGGTTCATTATCACGTCCAGATTTAGGCTCATTAGGGTCTCCTGCTACCTACTCTCAAGGCCCATCCCCTCCCCCTTTCCTGTATTACTGAAGATGGTTAGGCCTCTCTTGTCCATTGGTTTGTAACCTTCCCCTTCCCCAGAGGATGCAGACTCCTAGTGGGGGCTGTGCCTGCTTGTTCACACGGTAGCTCGGGGGCTTGGAGTAGTGTCTAGCGTGCGCGCAAGTTATATTGGCTGAATGAACCAATGCATCTCACTCTTTGGTACATGAAACCAACCCATCTTCTCAAAAACTTGGGCCAGTTTATGCTCCAACCAACCACACCCGAGCATGCTGATTTTCCTCCCGCGAATTTGCAGGCTTTGAAAATGTTTATTATCACATGGTTCAGACATGTAGTACACTTCAAGTACACTTCATCGTCCTGCTTTCTTAGAATCGTTCATGTCATTTTTTTTTCTCAGACTTCCATCGGCATGGCCATCCTGCATTGATCTCTGAGAACTCTGTGGCATAAATGGGGTACCAATGCTTTTCCTGACATGTAGGTTACAAATCCCCCCACTCCCATGTGTCCTTAGTCTCTTGGTCTCGCTTATAGAGATTCTGGTGGTTTGGTTTGTTTTTGTACTATGGAAGTTTAGTATGTGCTGGGTTTTTATTTATTACATTTAATTTTAGCGTCCTGGTTAGGCATTTGTGAAGGCTCTAATTCCTTCAGTCGCCATATGTTTTGCTAGCTCTTGACTGGGCTTGCCCCCCTTAAATCTTTGTCCTTATAAAGCACACATTGACATCACGAATGAGGCAGAAAAGGGGCATTTCTGGGTTGTCCCTGTCCATTATATTTGCTCTTTCTCTTGCCCCGATGGTGCAACCTCATGGTGGTCTGACATGGGGTGACCTCATCCAGGTGTGACCAGACATCTCCATCTCTCTGGCCACAGGGATTGGTCCAGGGAAGGGCATGTGATATAGGTTGGGCCAATCAGAATTTCTCCCTGAAATAGTTTTTTCTACCCCAATGATTAGGAAAGAACCACTTTCCTTACGCTACGCTTGTTAAGGTACTCTGTGTGTTTGGTGATAGAGGCTACCACGCACATGTTGGGGAGAGCTTCTCAGAGACAGGGAAAGAAAGATGGAGATCTGATGACATTATTTGAGCACCAAGATCCAACGGACCCACTACCCACAGTGACTTTTGAGTTACTGGAGCCAATATGTT